GACAGTTAGCCAAGAAAAAGTATAGTCTACCGGTAAGAAAAAAAATGAGTGGGGGTCAAATAAACGAACTCCTCTTCGTCTACTTAATGAAATCTAGTCAATGGCAAACTTTGACGGGAGGAGCGGATCATGACGTGGCAACAAAAATGACTCGTCTACCTCTCAGAGGCATCATCATGCCGTCTATTAAGTACTGGCAAGATATCCAGTTCCTTGGAGTTTAGCAGAGAGGGGTTCGAATGAAGTTGAAAATGACCGATATGACCAATTATAAATCATTTTGGACTGCTTCAGAACCCATTAAAGTGCGTCAAAAACTGAGAGAAATTGCCGGTAAAGAATGATGAATATGAAGGATAGAACATTGGAAAATATCTTGTTTTTGGAAAGTGAATGAATTATATTAATATTTTTCCCCCCTCAATCAATTAATTGGGTTCTAAAACGATTTCCGATTGTTTCAATCGACTTTTTCTTTTTTCCATTTTTAGGCCCCGGGAGAGAAAACAAAACACGAAAAGTGGGAGGATGTTCCTAAAACGGCAAATACTAATTGGAAGGTGCTTCTTCTGTTGAGAAAAACGAAAGGAACGGACGAAAATGATGCGCCGTCGATTGACAGTCACGTAGAGCAAATAGGCCGGAGAGCAGCCGCGCGCCCTCTCTTTTTCGCCGCGCGGCTCCTCCGCGAGCCATGTTCAGACGAAAAAAGTGTGTGTTATCAGTGAAGACGCGACCCGTTCTGGAGAGGCCTCTAATGATTTGGAGAGAAGAGCAAAAAAAGTAAAAGAGAGACTTAGGTTGGGAGCACTAATGAGTCAGATGGAAGGGGGAAATGGTGTCTGGAATGAAACTGGTTTGTGAGAGAAAGTGAGAATTCTCCAAGGTTTCAAGGTTTTACAAATACAGTAGTGGAGAATATCGAAAAATACATCGGGGTATAATTTGTAGATAAACTTTAAAAAATTAAACATTTTAAGTCATGCAATTGATTACCGCAAACACTAGAACATCACCTTCAACTTTCCACTCTGATATCAATTATCTCAGTTCCAGTGAAAGATATCAAAAAGTGGTCAACTAACAAAATATTTAAAAAATTAGGATGAACATTTTCTTAGTTGACCACTTTTTAATATCTTTTGCAGAAGATGAGATATATAGCTCAAAATTGACATCACGAGGCGCGTTCGATTAGTGTTTACGGTGTTAGAGGTTTTTGAAGTTTTAACGCTATACGACTTCATTCGAAGTAATTTCCTTTCCTTCATACAACATGAAATTTAAATTTAGCTTTTCTTAATTACACCAATCAATATGTCCAAACTAAAATCAATATTGTTGGAAATCGAACTTGTTCAAAATTATTGAAGAAGTGATTTTATTCTTTGTCCAAATTTCAATATTCCTGAACAAAATTAGTCAGAGTTCGTTGTGTATATTGAACATGAGTTTAATTTCGAAAAGGACAAACTCCTTCAAAAAGGGCAAAATCATGAAATTGAATTATCCTATAACAGAAGTTCTGAACAAGTAATCCAACTTTTCCCGGATCAAAAAGTAATTGTGAACATGTCTCAAAACAAGAAAACGAATAGTGACTGATTTCAAAACTGTCCTACTTTCATCGTTTTTCCTCTTTTTTTTGTAGTTTATTTCCTAACGAAATAAGTGAAATGAATCCCGCAAACATTTCATGATGAGGGAGGAAAACGGAAACATCCAGACACTTTGTATATCCTCATTCCGTGATCTTGGATCGTGCAGAAATTCAGATTTCAGAAGCTGTAGAATAATGATTGGAACAACAGAGAACCAACTACAAAATTAGCAATCATTTGGAGTATATGGTAAAAAGAATCGGGGTCAAACCAAAGGAAAATTGAAGCCTATTTTCAGAAATGGGGGAATGATGGAAGAGAAACGGTAGATTTCAAGGATTCGGGTATATAAAGAAACGTTCTCGACAAACATATTTGTTTTGCGTTGATCTTATGAAAGAAATGGACAAAAACTGCTGTGCATGGCGGATTAGAGAAATAGATATGCCAAATATATTGGAGTTTTCAGGGTGGCGCACAATTATCCGGACTGAAAAAAATGGGAATATCTTTAGACACAAGTATCTTGGAAGCATGAAAATTGGTAGATTTATAAATTTACGTTTGATTCAAAGCTACTGAAACTTTAAAAGCAACTCCTCAAGTTTAGGTATTGTTATGATTGCCCAAAGATGCACGGCGTTATGTTTCTAGTGATTTTCATCACTAGAAACAACCGGCAAATTTGACAAGCGATAACTCAGTTCAAAGTTGATCAAATAATTTGAAATTTGGTCAGTTTACTGATGAACTATTGGAGCTTGAGACTAGATTTGAAACTATTGGAATTTGAGACCAAATTTGAGACTAGTACAATGCTTTAATCAAATTTTATGCCAGTACAAACTTGAGTCCGGGAAATTACATCCTGTATTCCTAACTGAACATTCTTTCGAGAAAAATGTGTTTTTTTTTAAATAAAAAACCCTAAAAGCTAGTGTGTCTGAAAATAACTTTGAAAAAGTAACATACTTAGGCGACACAGATTATTTAGGCAAATAATTCGGAAGGTACAAAAATCTTGGGGTCATTTGGGTATAAAGCGATTTAGGGGTATAAAATCATCGATTCGAGGGTACAAAATGTTTGGAAGTTCCAAGTTTGGTAGGTGATAAAAATCCCTAGGAAGAGAAAGTTGCACAGTCGGCACTCAATTCTCTAGTTACACCACCAAAACCGCCCAAGCCCTCTAGTAGCAAAACGTTTCCGCAACTGGAATTTAATCCTTTCAAGAAAGTGAAACGCAAAATTCGAGAAAACCGTACTACACTACAAAGAAAAGAATCCCTACTACTTCCTTTTCGAAAGAAACAAAAGAAGATAAAATATGTACAAGTATACAGTAGATTGAAAATGAAGAGAATCGGTGCAACCGAGTCCAATTGTGGAAACAGAAGTTTGAACAAACGCTCAACTCATTGTGCATCTTCTCCTCCCGCAGAGCACATCTTTTGGTCATTCGGAGTCAACAAATCAAAACTCCCTTTTCTCTCTCATCTCACCCAAAAACAATTGATTTGGAATCGTGAAAAGGTGTGAAAAGGTAAAAATGACAGCTCTTCCCCCTGGGTGATGCTGCTTTCGGAAAGCAAAAAACCGGCGAAGGAAAAAAAGAGTGTGCCATGTATTTGTGTTATGTTCTTCTTCTTCTTGTCCTCTACAACCCCCGAAACATGAAGCTTCCCTGGCGCATCCGCTTGTTCAACCGGCTGCTCGTAATCCCAATTGTTGGCAATGGAATAGAAGAAGAAGAAGACGAGAAGAAGAAAAAGGAGATGAAAAACTACAAAAAAAATCGAGGGCAGGTTTGAGATTAGTCTCGCGTCGAATGGCACTGTATTACAAAGGATTAGACAAGGAGAATCGAAAAAAGGAGAGGTATTGATGGTAGATTCTGTGCTGGTGTTTATAGGATGAACTAAAAAAATAACTTAAAAAATATTACGATATCTGGTTGCAAAAATATTTACAAAACAACTTTTTTATGATACAAATAAAGCGGATCAAGTTGCGGATTTTCTTGTTTGTGTTATTGGATCAACAACATTTTTAGGTATCAAATAGGTTGGATTTACTGTATATTGTCATTACGGAGTGGAAAACGCAGGTCAGAGGTGCAAAAGTTTTGAAGAATTTCGAAAGTTCTATTGAAGTCATATTCCCTTTATTTTTGAAAGTTCATTGTGGCGCATAATTAACTAAAGTTTGTACGATTTGAGTAAAGCATTGTATTGGGCTCAAATTTAGTGATCAAAAATTCAAATAATTAATCAGTAAACTTGCCAAGTTTCGAATTATTTGATCAATTTGGAGCTGAGTTATAGTTTGTAAAGGTTGCTTCATCTCATGAAAATCACAACAAAGTCTTTGGAAAATCATAAAAATACCCAGCCTTGAAAATTCGCTTTGAAAATTTCAGAAGCTTTGAATCAAATGTGAAATTATATTTCTACCAATTTTCGAGCTCCCAAGATATTTATGTCTAAAAATATACCCACTTTTATCAGTCCGGGCAATTGTGTGTCACCCTGGATTTCAAGAACTTGGGGTTCACATTTTCCTATAATGCAGAATGGGAAAAACGGAAACAGTTCAAAAGACTCTACTCATCGTTATGATAAAACTTCCTAATTTTCTAGCGTTATCAAAATCTACATACCTTTGTGTAGCTTTCATAGGGCAAGAAAAAGCGAGTGAACTTGCGAAAAAATCAAGAATGTTTGCTAACAGAATCTTCAAAATAACCCTGCCAAACATTGAACTTTTTGAATCGAACGCTACATTTAAAAAAGTCCATTAACAGCTACTAAACAACAAATAAAGCAACGTTGATGTAATAAAGCTTGGAGACACCCCAAAAGCGGCACTCTCTCATAACATAATAAGGCCCATTGCACTGTACAGAGAGAGGTGTCTTGCTTGCGCTCCGAGCAAACCTTGACCATTGTAGAACTAGTCTGCGTCTCCAATAGGTGCATGTGCTATCTGATCACAGGTGTCCCAAAACAACTCGAATTGTTGATACAAACCGAAAAGCTGGTGGTCACGTAATTCTCACTCCTACTTCTTCTACTGTCTGTTTCTGTAAGACACCATAATGTGACCCAGTTGTAATTGGTCATTCTATTTCCCATTTTTATCGTCTTCAAAATACGAAAACAGTGGAAGAAGATGTGGTTGTATACAGTTGGAAAATGTTGTCACCTTGACCAATTCCTCACCTTTGAGCGTCACGTCTTCTCGCTTCATTGAATCTTGAATTCTTCTTTTCTTCTGAGCCGATTAAAGTCACAGTTTGTTCGAGAATAAAAACTCGTGTCTTCTTTTTTTTTATTTTTCTTGATCCGACTCCACCTACATCTTCCGAATCTTCTCCCCATTTTTCAGTTTTCCAGAATCATGAGAAATCTACTACTCATTTTTGTCTTTTGTACATTTGCGTCCTCATGGGTTATCTACAGAAAAAGTCATAAGAAGCGACTCATTTGTCGGGTAAGACAATATTAATAGGAAAAAAAAAGATTTAAAAAACTACAGGAAGAGACAGAATGGACAAACTCCACTGCAAACTACATGACTAATTCAGCAATTCGATCCACATCGGATGAAGACGTGGACGATAGTTCAGCGTCGTCGGAAACCAGAAGAGCCCGCAAGAAGGTCAGATCCAAGAGAGATATCGAAGTGGATCCAGTGCACAAGGAGCCAATTATTTATCTGGGAGTAAGTTATGAAATAAAGACTGTTTGACTGACGAAAATGTGGTGATTACTGTATCAGGATGTTTCATACCAGCTAACTGGTGTGCCTTCAGCACACCAGTTATGCCTACCGTTTTATATATAAGGAAGATCTTTGCATAGTTTTCAGCTAGTCCAGAAATTCTAATGTCCTTCATCTGATACCACCATTCTCAGAAAAAAAAATCAGTTCCAGTACAGAAAATCGCGATTTCAGTGCAAGAACAGCGATTTTCAAAGACGATTTTCTCAAATTCCAGATCGTTTCAGAACATGAAGGATTTTGTGTTGTTTTTAGAATTCAATGAAGTTTCATTCAAACATTTTCTCCGAAACATTTTTTTTTCGAAATTTTCTGGATTTATTCAAAAACTGCAGTTTTACATGAATTTTTTAGAAGATGACTGAAAAAAAACAAATGTAGCGCGGGTAGAACTGGCGAACGGATTCTAAAATTTTCAGAAATTTCTAGTTAGGATATTCCTAACAAATCCTGAAATTTTCATCAACATCTAGGTTTACAGGTTCCCTTGTAAAATAACCCAAAATTCTAAACAAATAACCCATAACTCAAATTCCACCCAGCTTACACTTGCCCTCTGCATCTTTTTTCCTTTTACTTTCTAGAGAATTGGGAAGATGTTGATACTTTTTCCCCTTTTTTCCAATTAACTCCCAAAATTTCATTAGTTGAGATGATCAAATTCCAAAAAATCGAGAGCCCCCCCCCCCACATCAAAAATGTAATTATTTTTGTGACGTATCAGGGATTAACAGTTCATTATGCCATTTTCCAGACATCCAGCAACTCGACAGTTTTCATCGATGATGGAGACTTTGACATTGTGTCGGATCAATTGACAAAGGAGGAACTTGACATGGTATCCTTTTTTGGGTTTTTTATCAACGAGTACTATTTTTTTAAGGTCAAACAACAAATAATGGACACATGCAACGCATTGTACTCTGTTTAATTCCCTTGAAGGTTCTTCCTCATCTTACTGGTTTTTGAAGTATTAAATAAATGTTATCTCTTTTGTTTTTTTCCCTCATGAGTTCATTCAGATCCATCTCAACAATGGGTTCATTTAATCTGAAACCTCCCCTTTTCCAGAAATTCCAAATCCAATAAGTGACGTTTCTGTTTGTTTATTTGAGAGCCCTGCTTCCGGAAATTTGAGGATCGAAAAAACGAAGTGCACATGATAATGTTCACCGGTCAACTGCTCTAATTCGATTTCGACTTCATTCGAATTCAAAGAGAAGCTCGATTTTTGACCCAATTTTAAAGATCAAAGCCTTTGGACTGCAAATTGAGAGTAGAGTTTTCAAGAATTTTATAGTTTCAGAATTTTCGATTCTGATCTTTCTCACTTCCCTAGAAGAGACACGTGATGTATCCAGAAATTCAGCTGCTTCCAATTAACAAAGAGGAAAATAGACACCTGAAAAAAGTTTTTGATAATTCGTAGTTCAAGATGATTCTTTCTGACGAAATGCGGTCACGAAATTTCAGCTGACAGAATGTAGGCGGGCCAGGAATACTCATTGTTTGTTTTCCCAACGTCTTCATGTTTTCATCGTGATGTTTTAGCATTTAAGGGCGTTCCAGCCGGTCAATGATTTTCGAGATACAAAATTTGAAGTTCAGAAGTTGTTTACATTCTCATGGTTAATACTACAGTATGACTCAGAGAATATTTTCATTGGTTTTTTGATTCCAAGTAAATTTTTGTTAACGAAGTACACTTCAGAAGCCCTTCTACTTCAGTTTGTGGCGTTCTAGAGCTAGGAACTTTTGAGAATTTTTTGTAATCCAGTTTCCAATTCAACCGAAAACCGAATCTAGTTTCGTTCTCTTCTATTTTTGAAAAAAATCGGAAATAAGTCATCGCAACTTTTTTCGGAAGGATTAGGTTATTTTCAGCGACTGAACAAATCAGTTATAGCTTTTTTGGTATGCTGAAATTCGATTTTGTTTTGACATTTTGATTTCACACGAATCCTGAAATTCTGGAAAATAAAAATAAACTAAATACCCACCAACCCAGAATTCTTATATTTGCATTTTTTCTGTTACATCATCTTGTGAAAAACATTGGCTTGAAAACATTTTACCGGCTTTTTGTTTTATAAATGAGGGTTGTAACATACTTGCGAAGATCGTTGAAGGCCCGGCCCGGTTATTTTTTTTTGGTCGAAATTTATTTTTAAAAATTTATTTTGATATATTTTCGAGAATTTTTTAACAAAAAAAATCGTTATTATGCTTCAAAAATGCAATTTTCGGTCCGATCCCACCTCCGGAAAAAGGTCAGAAATAATTATCTTCCGGGCCGGCCCGGCCCGTCGCAAGTATGGATTGTAAGTCCTGTGATACTTCAATTGCAACGAATCTCCTAAAAACCAACATCAAAACAGCGTTTTTAAGGAGGGGGGCAGAAGTTTTTTCGAAGTTGTTTGGAGTTAGGCTATGCATTCTGAAGCAATCTTTAGTAGAGATGTCCGGAATAACTTTTTCGAGAAACGGAATCCGGAATCCGGAATAAAATAATTTACTCGGAATCCGGAATCCGGACAAATAAAATTTTGCCGGAATCCGGAATCCGGAATACGAAATGAAACTAATTTTCCGGAATCAGGAATACGGAATCCGGAATGAAAAAATGCACGAAATCCGGAATCCGGAACACGGAATCCGGAATTTTGAGTTCTCCGAATAGGCAGAAAAGTTCTAAAAACGCATATCGTGCTATATTTTTGCATTTTTAGTCTCGGAAGTTCAAAAAAGTTAAAAAATCCTCACAAATTAACAAATATTATTAAAATCCGGTATAAAAATTTTCTCGGACTCCGGAATCCGGAATCCGGACAAGTGAAAATTTTCCGCAGTTTGCGCCACCGTAGCTCAGCCGGTAGCGGCGCGACAATTCCAGAGTTAGGCTCGCAAGTTCAACTCCTCGACTGGCGAATTTGAACGGAATTTTGGGAAAATTATTTTTTTTTTTCATTTTCTCCCACCTTTAAAAATTTTACAGCTTTTTGGTTTATATATCAGCAATTATATTTTGTGATCTTCGAAGTGGAACAAATCTCGTAAAAATCAATTTCTAAAAAGGTTTTAGTTTTTTTAAAAATGCCAATGATAATTGCCTACATATTCCTGTACAATTTCAGAAATCCTAGATAGAGCCAATACGAAAAATTAAATAATCGGTTAGCATCTTATCAATCCAGAATTTGACATCAGATTAAATTTACTAATGACATCTTCGCGTTCAACATGTTGAACCGGATGTGGTCCATTTTCAAAAATAGCATCAAAAACTCATCAAATTCCAAATTTTGGAATTGTCTTTAAAAGTGACAGAATAAGCATCTCATCTTTCAAAATCCGGATTTCGCAAAATTTTTTAATGTCATCTAATTTTTCAAATTCCAAATTCTAGAATTGGTGACAGAATAACGTCAGTCCTAGAATTTTTGGACTGGATGTCATCGTTGCCATTCTCAAAGTCTTACGAAACATCCGTTCAAATTTTCGTTCATTAATCTTCTAAAACATCATCTCATCACGTCCCTTTTTTCTTTCGGAGTACTAAGACTCCACCCCTTGTTTCCCGAGAGAGGCCTCCTACACATTTCCTGCTCCCAATTATCCCTGTTCCTCTATCTAACCCACTACAATCTCCTCTCTATATAAAAGCCTTATCTTTGTTTTTATTATTCACACGTTATCAGAGTATCACTGGCGTGGATATCTGCCACGCCTGATAACTCCCCTTTTTCCAACCCAGAAAATTAAAGCCTATTCCAGAAGGATGGCCATGCTTCTTCGTGTTCTCCTCCTCTCGTTGGCCCTTTTCGGAGCTCCTTGCTCAGCTGACAATGCTGCTCGATATGCAGTCCATCAAATTATGAGTGTCGTTGAGAAGGCGTACATTCATAGAGACATTACTTCGATCCTTTATCTTCTCGACACCTCATTCAACTATACCATGTGTGGTTACCAAGGAACTATGAGTACGTTCAAGGGATATCTGGAGGTTCAGATGGACTCGCTCATGGATCTTAAGGTGAGCAATCATACAGTAATCCAATAACTATTTATCAATTTTCAGTTCTTGGTCGACTATGACAATGCATACATCGAAACAAAGGATGACCTGGAAACTTTGACGTTCCACGTGGATTCTCAAGCACTCTACAAAGACAAATCTCGTGTGGAAGGAGGTGCTGTGGTGACTGCGATCAAGAAGAAGTACGCTCCGATCTTCTACCTCTCGCATATCCATCAACAATGCCGTGTTACCGCCAAAAGACATCATCGTTTGTACCGTCTGTTCACCAATGAGGATCTCTATGACTACAGAAAATAAGGGGAAGAGGAAGTTGCTGAGAAGTTGTTTCCATAATCGTCGTGTTTTTTTTCTGATCTATTCTTTATTTCGGTTTTCGATGGTCGGATAAACTTGTAATATGTTAATAAATCATGTTGATAACAGGTCGACACTGAAAAAAGAATTGAAAACTTGATAAGGAATTTAAATACACTTAATAATTGGAACTCGATTAGAATTAGGCCGAGACATTTGCGTAGACACCCAATGAGTAAAATTGACATTCATAAACAAGACGAACATAAATTGACAATTTCAGAATAGACTTATGAAAACGTCATTTGCCTTATTCTTCCGGGAAGGCTTCCGGGAAAAAACGCGTTTGAGAAACAAAATGAAACACACAAATAGAACAAAAGTCAGAAAAGTTAATTAAGCAGACATCCCATGTGTCAATTTTGAATAGAATTGAAACGAAGACTTCCTTGGTTTTCAGAAAATGGTTTCACTTGAAAAAGGTTTCCTTCTGGTTGAGAGGCTGAGGTATTTTTGCAAAATGGGCAGCAAAGTTTTACAGTGAATATATCTGGAAAATGAGACTATGTTTTGTTTCTGTACAGGTACCACTCACTTTTCAAAAAGATTCTATAATTTTTTATAATAAGCATAACTCCAGTTGGATCTACAATTGGATAGGTAACCAACGATATGCTTACAATATTTGAATCAACTCCCAGAGGATACTCAAAAAGTGGAACAACATAAAATATCATACATGGAATGAATATAAATACAGTTGGAGTTAAGGTCTGAAACCCGTTTTCTTTGAAATATGAGATGATGTTCTTTGGCCATACTTGAACTAAAAGAGCAATAAACAACTGCCTCTGAATATACATGTAATTTGATAAATGAGCAGTTTTGTGGCACACTTTTTTGTATGTTTTTATACCACAATACAGTATGATTGTCATCGCCGTACACTGAAAAATACTTATTGTCAACTTTGAGCTCAAATATCTCGGTTGCTTCAAAAGATATCAAAAGTTTGTCAGGTGATAAAGTGTTGGTGATATTATGATTTTATTAGAGGATATTACTGTCCATGTCGTTTTCCTTTTTTTCCACTTACGAAGTAGCAGTTAATCGCTGAAGCCGCTCCAATTGATAACCAATTCAACAGGATATCGTTCGTTTCCGTTCGTTCGAAATATTCGATTCCCATATAATTAACCTCGTCCGGTGATACTTGATAAGCTTCCGCCATCGCTAGTCTACAACAACAACAAAAACCATGTGGCAACCACATGCTTTTTCGTTTGACTCACCGTATACTCAAATCCTTCTCGGGCGTTGAGTTTATACCTACAAAACCGCATGCACCATAGATAATGGACACAAACAAAGTGAAAAATACAAAATAGAGACGACGCCATCCGGTGAAGTACTTTAGCTTGTTCGAACTGAAAATGACGAGTGACGATGGAGTTTTGGGAAAAGGCTTTCTCACTGGCTCATTGCAAAATATCTATAAACAAATTGAATACATAGAATGAGAAGAACACATCCAGCACATATTGAACAGATTCCAAATAGGATCCAGATACCGATACGGGGCATACCGAAAGTGTTGCGAACTGTGAACATCATCATAGTTCCACCATGAATATGGAATCCCTGAAAACATGATTTTCATAAACTTGATACTTTCAGCCACTGTACAGGCTGGCGCATAATCACCCGTACTCAAGTTTGTACTAGCATAAAAGTTGAGAAAAGCATAGTATTGGGCTCACTTTTGATGATCGAAAATTCAAATAATTCATCGGTAAACTTGCCAAGTTTAGAATTATTTGATATTTTTTGAGCTGAGTTATCGCTTGTCAAAGTTACTTCGTCAACATTACGCTCTTCATCTTCAAACAATCATAACAGTACCTAGAGTTGAGGAATCGCTTTGAAAAAGCTTTGAATCAAACATGAAATCATATTTTTAGAAATTTTTGTGCTTCCAAGATACTTATGTCTAAAGATGTATGCGATTTTATCAGCCTCAGGGTAATTGTGCGCCACCCTAAATGGTAGTGGTTTTTGTTTGTGATTTTCTTGATTACATACATCTAGCACATACTCCTTTCAAAACCTCATAGATCATTTTTCAGCTGATTAAATTTGTCGGAGCACAAAAAAAAATATTGTCTATTCAATAAAACGTGAAATTTTCGGCGGCGTCCTTTTTGTCATTCTCGTTTTCAGAGATCATGTAAGATCTTGAAATCTAATTCCGGAAACAA